AGGAGATGTAGACTGTGTGCAACAGAAGCTTACTGCATGTACAGATGTTAAGCACAACAACCCCAAGGTTAGACACACTGGTTAAATATGAGCATCCGATGCTCTTTCTACTGTTACTTCTGCTGAAAGCCTTGTTTACATGTCCCTGTAGCTGAAGTAGAAGCAACGACCTTGCTTCATTCAAATCGCCACATTTTCCTGCTCAATCAGGATATGAGTGAAGGCCGATGCTTTATCCTTGTGCACAGCATAAACTCTAGAACACTGAAAACAACAACATTTCATTAAGATTCAAAGTGCTACATGCAAGTCATAAAGCAATGTGTGCAGTTAATTCTAAAGCATAAAAAAGCTAATGGACTATTAGAGTCTACTGCCTGAGGCTGCCTTTTCTCCTTGTAGAAGAGGTACATCAATCACTATCAGTAATCCCCTGCAAGCTGCCGGCAGTGTCTTTGCCTCCCGCCACAGACACGGCCCCTCAGCAGACGCAGCATCACATGTGGCTGGAGTTGACGTCTTAACAGATAAACTGGCCCCACTTTACTACCACTGTCAGTACATTCTGCCCTCGGTCTTCGGAGATATTGATGGGAGGCAGCAGTCGATGAGACAATAGCACTGACAGAGGAGAAGCCTGAGGAGTCCAGCTAAGCTGCTGCATGTTTGTACTTTCTTTGCTCGTCCTCGTACCTGGAGGATAAACGATAAGATGGGACACAGATGAGAGAACCTTGGAGATTTTGCTTTGCTGTAGGCTCACAGTTGTAAAACGCAGCGACTTTTCGCTGAAGTTTTCAAGTAAGTCTGTTTGTTTGCTGGAAATGGCTCAGAACAGCTTAAAGTGACGTGAGATATTTACTGAAGTGGAGAGTTAATGCACAGCTGCGTCACAAGAACACAATTTCTGAATGTCTTTGTCAATATGGGATTCTGCCACAGAGAAAATGAAGGAAAAAAGGAAGAGGTTTCATCCTTTCGTTACACTCCACTAAGCAGGTTTACTCCGTTTGTTGTGAGAAAGCCGGTGGTTGTCACAGGGGCTTTGAATGAAAGCACATTTCTCCTCTGGCTACAGCTGCGGCATATCCATGTGCAAACAGTCAGCAGATGCGTCTTGGTCCAGCTACTCCATCCCGGCGCCCATTTCCTTCCAACTTCACATTTACCTGATCATCTCCTGGCCCAATTGTCTAACAAATGATCTCTCATGAATAAACAGCATTGTTTTGTTCCAGACCAATAAGACAATTCATGTTGACTCAGTGCATATGGAGCCGTTTTGGCCATGACGTGCGTGCTGATCTGCCTTGGACTCGATAAACACTGCAGCTGCTAAATAATTTGTTGCAAACAGATTTTGTTTACCAGCATGTGTTTATGAGTGAATATGTATTTGCATACTCTCCATGCACACTTGAAGAGGATGGTTTATGCTAGTATAACTACACTGAAATATGTGTGATCAAACTTTAAGTGGCTACAGCTTGTTCTGAGTGGAGGCAGTGAAATTATGTTTGATTTTGTCAAGTTTAAAGCTATTTAGGAAATTAGCCAATTTGAAAAAAAAAAAAAAATAGAATTCACAGTAAAATTTCACTGTAAAAAGTCACCTTCATCATGCCAGCTTATAATACACTTTGCAGAGAGTAAAGCTGTTGCAAGACATCTCAAGGACTGTGCTGAAGGCAGATCTTCACTGTGAGAATATCTGGGAAGCTCCAGCCAGGCTTATAGAAACCCCTTCCCATCTGTCAGACCACACAACTAGCTGAAGCAGTGTGTTTAGCTGGATAGACATCAGCCAAAGGGACACAAAAGGGATGGCAAAGTCCCCCATGCGGGAGTTAAGGCTACTTAATATTCCTGTGCTGATTGAGAATTAATTGTTCCATCTGGCTCTCATGAAAACTAGCGATGAGAATGGAAAAACAACACTCCCTCCTCTTTTCCTGACGTGTTTCCTCTTGTTTCGTTATGGTCATGGAGTGTTGCTAGCAAAGCGGTGAGGGTTGGAGGAGGAGGAGCTTGGGCTGGACAGGCTGTACCAGAGGGAGAGCTGGGAAATTTGATCATTTTTCTCGGGGACTGTCATACGCCATAGGCTGCCTCATTTGTCTGCTCCAACTCCTTTGTCTCCACCAGGCTCCCTGTTCCAGGATTAGGCTGCGGAGCAGGAGACAAGCAGGAAAATAAGGCAGAGGGAGAGAGAGAGAGAGGGAGAGAGAGAGAGAGAGACAGAGAGAGAGAGAGAGAGTTAAAGGTACTATATGAGCTAATTATTACAGTGCTCCATGTTTCTTTAATACAGTACTTAAAGTCTAATGTACATGCTGCAGTATGTAATAACTGCTGACTGGCCAAAAACCAATGAAAGCAGGTGTGAGGGGAAGCTGCAAATTGCCCTGCAGTTCCACAGAAGTGGTGTTGACCCAGTTTATCTCCCACTCAGGTGATTAATGCAACATCGCTGCAAACAAAGGTCACATCAGGAGGCAGGGGAACAGGCCAGAGCACAACAAGAGCTAAGGGAGTTATATATGGCTATTGTTATGGCTGAGAAAATAAGTTATTTGTTGTTTTGTAGGGCATCACTCAGTCTCTGGAGACACACACACACACACACACACACACACACACAGGAATGAACCAGGAATGAGAGTAACACACTATTATGAGGCAATAACATTATTACATTATAAATATTTTTTATATTTTCTGGCAGCAGGTAATGATGTTAGCTATGTGGAAGTCTCTTAAATTGGAAGAATAAATTAAAGGGGCCCCTCCACTGATTTCAGATCAATTTACTTAATAGTTGTTCAATGTCTTCTGGGGCTCTTCTGGAGGGAGCTTTATACACTTAGAAAATATAACCCCTCATGATGTCATCGGGGGTGGGGGTTTGTCTCAGAGGCTATTACAGGAGTGTAGGATCCAGTGTTGTTTGAGCTTGGAGTCTATTCTCTGCCTCGTCTGTGTCGATTTTCTACCATTCATACTTGTGAGTCCCCCAACATCATAGAAGTACAGTACCACATCGCTAGAAGCAAGAGACAAGCAAAGTTAGAACAACAGCTGTATGAGACAAACACCTAAATAATGTGTGTGTGTGTGTGCGTGCATGGGTGCGTGTGTGTCAGAGAGAGAGAGAGAGAGACCCAGAATGGGAATAGAGAACCATTTTGGGATGTTTTAAAACTGTCTTTACTTTTCATTTGTTCCCATAATGCAGAAATTCCCACCCTGTGGGTGAGGCTCCCCTTCAAGTGTCACAAGGTCAATCGAAAGGAGTAAGACATGATTCATTTCTGACTTTTCTTCAAAGTTTCATCTTCTTTCTACTGGAGAATTAACTATTTTCTGGTCTCTAAAATGATATTAACAAAAATTTGACAGTGTAAAAAAACCTAGGACTGCTCCCAACTCACAGAGATGCACATCCTCGAATTGATTAATCAAAATCATTATCAGCAGATTAATCGATAACTGTTTATTAGAGCCATATAGTGACAAGTCGGAATGGTTGGGAAACACAGACACTAGTGACGTATAGCTCAAATAGGGACAAACAGCGCTGCACATAGATGATAGAAGATTAGACATATTTATTAGACAAAAACATCCATGCTGAGCCTGCTTTATGCTGTCAGGTCCTGTCTGTACTTTACTGCAGCTTGAGGCAGTCATTTCCTCAAAATATACAACATCAAATTGACTGTGATGTGTTAGGGAAGATGCAAAAAAGAAGAATTAGTGATGAAATATCTGTTGGGTTGAAGATATGAGCTCTCTGCAGGAGTTTCCCTGGTGGCCTCTGTGTCTTTAACATTCATTTAGAGGCACCACAGACACACAGCCAGAGTTACTTGAAACTGTCAACTGCTCATGAATTTAGGTCATTTTGTTAGTCAGAACTAGGTTATTGGGTTATTTTTATTAATTTCTACCTCTGTGTTGCATTTTAAAAAGGTTGTGATTCAAGCCCCGAAACACTGCTGCTTTCCAGTTTCATTTGCTGTATTTTTCCACAGCTGAGACATGTGAATATAAATGCTCTCTTTTGCTCTTCTAGTTATCATTTTAACTCGTTTCATTTTGCCATGTGAGAAAAACCATTTTTAAATACAACTGCAAGTGTAATTATGCTGTGTCTGTCTTTTTTTTTCTTTCTTTCTTTCTGGAGTTATCTAAATTATAATCTCTGGTTTCAGCCTTTATACCAAAGCACATTCTGAGGTATTCCACAGCCATGGTTTCTCTTCCAGAGAAAGTAATGGTGCTAAATGAAGCAATGATTTTCTTCATATGTGCCAGCTGTAGTGCAAGTGATTTTCAATCTGCCAGAAGATCCAGTTCATTTTGTGTAGATGAAATTGAAGAGGGACTGAGTGAACAGGGGCCGTTTGGGCTTTGATCTAACATTCTGATAATGTTGCATCAAACTGTAAATTTGTGTTTATGTTTTCCAATGTTGTTTTCATGAAGATTTCTTTTTGATCATCTGTCCAGAAGGCATTCAGGGGAAAGAAAATGTAGAATTCAAATTTCTGTCTGAATGCCTCTACCCTGAGCACCACTGCAGAGCTGTAGTGCTGTGGGTAAAATGGCTAAGGAGAAGTGGCTTTTTGAGAAGTGATGCTGGAGTTTTTCTGTTTAAAAAGAAAAAGAAAAGAAAATAAAAAAAGTAAGGTAGTTCAATTTAGGGTATATGTATGTAGATCAGACCCAGACCAGCGTCTCTTTCTTCGTATAAAGAGCACAACAGTAAGAGTAATATTGGCTGTACCTTGTTTTCCCTCTTGGCTTTTTTGCTGGCTTTTAGTCTAATGTCATTTAACCAGAAAACACTGGTTCTCTGTCGCTGCCCACTCAGGTTACATCTATAACCACAGCAAGTCTGCTTCCATGAAACATTTCTATAGCAAAAAGCCAACAAAACAGTCACAACAAATAGATTTTCATCTCTCACACAAAATATTTTTCCATGTCTTCCTCAGGTGAATGGAAAGGAGTTGTCCAAGTCCAGCCATGAGGAGACTGTGGAGGCCTTTCGCGCTGCCAAGGACCCCGTCGTGGTGCAGGTCATCAGGCGGACCCCCAGCGGCCGCCCCCATGGCCCCCCTCAGGAAATCCATGTGGTGGATGTGTGCACTCAGACCGACATCACCTTTGAACACATCATGGCGCTGGCAAAGCTGCGGCCTTCGACCCCTCCTGTGCCTGACGTCTGTCCCTTCCTGCTCTCTGACAGGTGAGTACAACAGGAAATGTACGTAGTTAGTTTACATCTCTGTAAATCAACCACACTCAATAAGGCCCAATAAATGTGATTCAGAACAGGGAAGATCATTATAAGCAGGTCTGTCGTTTGATATAATTTAATATATTTTTATTTAATTTGAAATCATTACAAATTATTTCGGTTCAGTGCCACGAAGAGCGACGCAGAGTTTGTTGTTGTGTCTTTGTTTTGACTTTGGCTGCGACTGATGGTAATTACCGAGAGGAAAAAAATGAGTGGGAGGTGTTATTGAGCTATGAAGCAGAAATATCAGTGTTTGCAGAATTAGCATTAGCATTACAAGTATGCAAGACGCCTGTAAAATATAAATGAACTGTCGAAGAATAGTAAAGGATGCCGGCTATTAATACAGAATGCATGCATTTCGCATTTTAATGTTCAGTATTAAGGGTTCATTTAAATGTATCACTAATTATGGAAAATCAGAGTATAAATGTAAGCAATCAAAAAAAGTCACAGCCTCAAGTGACTTTGAAAACAGGAGCATTTGGATGTGCCAGGTCATAGCGACTGTTATTCCTACAACACTTGAACACAGCACAGACAGAGCCATTTGGGAAAGAGTTTGTGGCAGAGAGTGGCAGATGTAAAAGACATACTGTACATACTTACAGATAAATCAATATGAACAGTTGAGTCTGAGGAGACTCTCTTTCACATGCCTCCTGTATACTGAGATACTGACACACAGAATCATAATTCAGGTGTAAGATTAAATATGTTTGTTGGTCTCGCATGTCTACAAATTTAGAAGAGATGAAAAAGAAGTAGCCGGGTTACGCTGCATGTAAAATAGCTCAAAACAACACATGTGGTACAATCACTACTCTAATCACATCCCGAATCGATGCTGGGTAGAAAAAGATCTCGGAGACATCATAAAAATATGTACAAAAAAATATCGAGAGTTTAAAGTATCAACAAGAGGTTTTCCTGGAAAAAACAACAAAAGAAACAGGGTTCATTATTTCCTCTTCTGGCGTTTTAGTTTATATTCTCTTCATCTCAAAGGAGAAGTAAACTGTGAAGAAGAAAAGTTTACCATAAAAAAAGATCTGGATTTCACCTCTTGGGAATAGAACAATGAAACAATGGCAATGCGAGAGCTTTAATAGCACAGAGCTGAGAAGTCAGGACTATGTTTGTGAATCAAGTGTGTTGAGTACAGTAGATAATTAATTCCAACAATGATAAACATCCTGAATTCTTTCAATATCCGCTGTGATATGTCACTGGAGACTTCAGGGATGGACTATCACACAGATGGGCCGTCTGTACTGCTCATTATTACAAACATCATTAGAAGTGTGTGCTATTGTCAGTGTTGCACGTTAGATATAAAGTACTGTACATGACCTGATCAAGATCATTGCCACATGTATATATCTCACAGTATCACCATATAATTCCCCACAGGGCCTTCTTGCCATAATTGGAGCTGCTTGGCGTATCCATTTTGGCTCATGGAAGGTTTACAAGGTGATTAAAGCAAATAGGCTCATAAAAAAAAAACTAGGCAACACAGAGCAACGTGTGCTTGTAGGCTACTTACAGCCCCAGGCCGAAGCCAAATGTGATCAATGTGTCCCATAAAACTCACATTTTCTTCTCTTCATCTGAGATCAGGTGCACAATCCAATATACAACAGATTTTATAGACATAACAAAAGTTTGTCGCTCATACTTTTGAGGCAAGACTGTAAAATCTGTAATTGTATTATTGGCACCCACTGCCAAATGTTGTTATATGTGTAATATTAAGGCATCAAAGAATAAAGCATTGTGACATTTACTTGTCTGGTTTTGTGACTGGAATATTGTTTTGAGACAGTTTTACAGTGCTGGGTAATCTTAAGAGTCAGACAGCCCCTGAACACATCACTCAACTTGTTTAACAGAGCGTCTTTTTGAAGTTTTTGTCCATCGTGATTATCTTGTGTGGCAACCGAAGCTGCTCATCTTGTTAGACCCTCACAATGCTGTTTTGTTCAGTGACTGAGGGAAGCATAGTGGAATTACACTGTACAGTGTGGGGGGTTTTGTCTGTCAAGAGCAGGAAGCAAATTATGTGGATATGCTGTTATTAACAAGGGGCTGTACTTTTATCACACACACTCCAGTGGAAGTGAAAGCCCTTGACAAATCCTTTATTCCTCAGATTCCCACAAAGACAAAGGCAAGGAACTCCTGTCACTTTGAGATATTGAACACGTTTAAAAGAAAGTGAGGAGAAGGATCTTGCTTACGCCCAGCTCTCCACCTCTTTCTGTTTCTCTGCCCCCCTCCCTGTCTGTCTTCCCCTCTCTTTCTTCCTCTCTCTGTCTCCCCTGACAGCTGTCATTCTCTTCATACAATGGAGCAGGATTACTATGAAGGGACAGACTACCTCTCCCCTGTTCCAGCTGATGGAGAGAGGACAGAGGAGTTCGAGTATGAGGTAAGAAACGCACGACATCGCTGATAACTTCAGCCTGATAGATTAATTATTTCCGGGTAATTTTAGCTTATTGCTGATATTGTATATCACTACATATGTTGGCAGATAAGTGTGCCAAAGATAGAAAAAAGAAATAGTGTCTCCATTGCACTGTTTGTGAACCAGACACAACTGAGAGTCAGTTGAGTAAATTGATATCTGTTAATTAAGCATGACACTAGAGCCAATTCGCTTAGCTTAGCATAAAGACTGGAACGTTCGAGTCTCGTTTGTTTGTTCATCATCTGTTCACATCTGAGGAGTAACCTACTGTAACTTTTGACCAAGCAGTGACTTCTGGGAGTCTTATCAACGACGAGATTGCCAAGCAACCAGTAGAAAACTCTCAAATACTTGTATTCAGCGCTTGCACAGACATTTATCATTTTCGGTCCCACTCATTATCCAGCTCGTATAAAAACATGAACACTGCACCATGCGTCTGAATTCTACACTAATTGATCTGTATGTGCGACAATCAGTGTGTTGTTGTCAAGGCTGTTGCTAGCCTATGAGTCATAGGCCGTGATGTTGGTGGCTCTTTCTGACAGAACCAGTTAATATCATCGTCTTCTCTAAAGAGCTCCACGAGGCTTACTCCTTCCTTTGTAAGATACCAGAAATGAAAATGCTGCATTCATGGCCTCCATGGTGTTGAAAGGTGCGCTTGGTAGGTGTGCTAAATGCTGAAATAATTGTGTGTGTGTGTGTGTGTGTGTGTGTGTGTGTGTGTGTGTGTGTGTTTGTGTGTGTGTGTGTGTGTGTGTGTGTGGTACACTTAATGCTAAAGATACTCATATGTACAAACACAAACACACGTCTAACCCTTGCAACTAATAGACACACATTGAACACTGAGCAGGCTGTATTCAATGATGCTCACGAATTGGTGGAAGGGCACACACACTTTGACTCTACAGGCAGATCCCAGGGGGACAGTAGTGACAGATGATCAGCCACATTGCACCTTACTTCTCCTGGCAATAATGACATGCCTCCATGTTTTTCCATTTTTTTTAAATTTTAACTGTTACCTGAGATTTGCTTATTGTTTTCACAACTGTGGAAGAAAACACTAGCAAATTGGTCGACACTGAGCTCGATCAAAACCAATTAAAATGAGGTGTGTGTGTGTGTGTGTGTGGGTGTGGGTGTGTGTGTGTGTGTGTGTGTGTGTGTGTGTGTGGCAGGTTCTGGTAAGGGAAAAAAAGAAGATGGAAAACACATTTCTTTGCTTCTGCATCTTTACTGGGGTGTAAGTAACAGAAGCAGCTGGAGAGGTGGTGTTTCTAAGGCTGTTGATCTCTGACATATACAGATATACAGTACATACAGACACACTGATTCAACTGTGACGGGAAGAGATAACCAGACTCCGTCTCCGCTCTCTGCTCTGGTCCAATATTCTTTATTTCTGAGTCAATGACGTGCAAGCATATTGCCGACGAGCGCTCTGAGAGGTCTGATGTATGATGATCGCTCACCCCTCCCTCTCTCTTATTTGTTTCATTTGAATTTGTTCCGAATGCTTCCACCCACTGAGCTTCAGCCGTTTCTTCACATCCTAAAGAGATTTGTGCACCCGCTCGGATCGCAGAGGCAGCAGTGTCAAATCAGAATAAATATAATATATGAAAGCCTCTCTTTATGCCTCATTGCTATTAACAAATCCTATTATACTGTGTATGCTTTGTAGCCTGCACCATTTTTTTTTATTTCATGCTCAGGGGGTTAGATACCCACTAATGCAGCCCCACTTACTGTATGTCAACTGAAAACGATGCGAAGGGGATGTAGGTAAAAGCTGAAAAGCCACTTTCAGGGTCGGCCTGATCCCTCACTCCCTGCTGAAAAAGAAAAACGAGAACCAAGGAAAGACATTTCCTTAAATTACTTTTGTTAGATGAAAAAGCACAGTGGGGGAGAGCAGTGCACCGTCACATCTCAGAGAAACCATCTAAATCTAATTCACCTTTCTAATACACCAGGACGTTGATGTTTCTCTCAGGGTAATCAACATGAGAGAGTCCCAGTGTACAGTGGCTGATGAGGAGGAGAGATGCCAGATGCCACTGAAATATGCATTCATCGTATATTGTGTATTTGTAAGGCGTGTGGGCTCATGTGAAAAGTCGGTTTGAATTTCGATTGTTATGATTCTGGACTTGGTAGATAAATGGCCACAGGATACGCCACATACCGCTTGTCTCCATCCAATCAAGCCGAGCGTCACAGTTATCAGCTTGTGTGGACTAACCACTGTTTTCTGTGAAACATCAAAAGACTCTTTTGAGTTTGTTTTTAATTTACCTTTTCCACCATAGAACCTATATCACTGACAATCTGTGCGCTTACATGCACATAGGTGCTTTAATCAATATTTTTTTACACTAGCAATGGATCAGATGATTGGTGTTTAATGTGATGCCGAAGGTGTCACTCGTAGAGGTGAACCCACAGAGAAATAGCACCCTAGTTGGCGCCTTTTTGCTCACTGATTTGCCAGGTGTTAAAACAAATAAAGTTCCTGAATTGGTGTTTGTGTGTGTGTGTGTGTGTGTGTGTGTGTGTGTGTGTGTGTGTGTGTGTGTGTGTGTGCGCGTGCGTGCGTGCGTTACTTCACGTGCGTGCGACACATGAAATACAACTGAAGCAGGCTGGTTTGAGTAAGCAGCGTATCAGATGCCATAACACTGCAACGCTGTTTATAAAACTGCGAGACAGGATCACGACTGTAATAGCTTAATTTTTTGTTTCAACAGTTGCAAGGTAAACAGTGGAAATGCATATGACATAAACGTTACAGTACAGTCGTAGTAATGGATGTGAGCTTGTGCATATTGATTGATGACGTTGTGTTGCAGTGTGGTGAAATATAACTCTGTGTTGTTGGGTTTTTTTTTTTTTTTTTTTTTTTTTTTGCCGGTGCCTGATTCATTGGCATCCCCACTGCGACACTAGACTGATCTCATTCAAATGAAAATTTTTCATGCAAGGCTAATGTCGGTCTGAATGCAGCCTGTCTATTTTGATTCAGTCTCACCACCACTGTTATTAACCCCGTTTTCCAGCCACAGCAGGCAGCTGTTCTCAATGAGACAGGTTTGATAAACCCACTGCTCACTATATGGGCAGCACCAAATGGCAGACTAAGTTAGTGACTAGATGATGAACATAATGTGGCATTTAATAGCTAAAGAACCAGATATTTAACAGTTTATAGCTTGTTCTGCTTTCCCCAGTTGGCCAAAAAGTAATGCAGGTTTGAGTAACCAGGTTGCTGATGGTATTTTAAGGCAAAATTATTTCCTAAACATCATGTAAAAGAGAAAAGATGTAATTGTAATTAGAGGTAAAAGTAAAACCCTGTTAATGCAGCTAGATTTCTGCTGGAGAAACCTGATTTTTTTTTCTTCCATGATGTGTGCACATAACATATAAACTCATCTGGTACCACTTTACAATAAGACTACCCTTATAGAGAATCTATGAATGGTTTATTACCAGTTTCTTAATTAGCTTGTTAACACTTTATAAATCATTTATACACTGTTATAACACATTAGATAAAATGGGCAACAGTGACTTGTCGCTTGCAAAATAAATTTCCATAATCCTTGGTGAACAGGTGTGTTTTCAGCTGGTTTTTGTAAATGTCCAGAGATGAGGCTGCGTGAATCTCTTCCGGGAGAGAGTTCCAGAGGGCGGAGGCTGCCGCACTGAACGCTCTGTCACCGAAAGATCTCAGGCTGGTGTAGGGGGTGGAGAGCAGACCCGTGTCCGAGGACTGTCATTGTCATTAGTTACTGAGCTTTCTTTGTAACCTCCATCATTAAGCATTTGTACCTACTAGCAATTAACCACCATCAGCATCTTAATGGTCAAAAAGTTTCATTTGGCAGATCAAGTTATAATATCAAATGACCAGATTCATACTCTAAGGCCTTGGCGGTATTGTTTACCTTGACATGCTATCAGCAGCTTCCTCATTATAGTCACAGGTGTTGATATGACATATGCTATCAGATTGTTCTGCACACTGGATATTAAAATGGAGATGCCTTTTGCTGGTTGGTATCTTCTTTAGGACTTCAGCATTCCAGGTAATGCAGTTGGTAACCTTCCTTAAGGAATTAATGAGTTACAATAAGGCTCCCTTTTACCAGTTATAAATAACAGTAATTCATTAATAAATGATGTGTTTTACATCTTACAATTAGACTTCCTTTTACCAGTTATAAACGGTAGTAAGTCATTAGTAAGATTAAAGAGTAGCAAGCATTAACTTGATCTTGCCAAATAGTGAGCCTGCATCATTGTATGAAAACTGTGTTATAACTTGTTTATATTTGTCAATACATAATTTATAAAGTGTTAACATCCGAATGAATAAACTTATTATAAACCATTTATAAATTCTTCATAAGGGTAGTCTTACTGCAAAGTGGCACCACTCGTCTAGGTTTTTAGACGAGCACATGCTCATGAAAGACTGCAGACAGGGAGTCCTATCTATCCGTAGCAGGATGAAAGAAAGCACCACATTTGCATCCAAAGTAATTAAAACCTAGTCAGTCTGACTAAAGTGAAAACAGACCCTGAAATAAAGAATGGGAGCTTCTACACTTCTGTAAAGATCGATTTCCACAGATGAACGCTTGACTATCTGTGAAAGTCAGTCACATTTTCAATTTAAAGCTCTCACTACAGTGTCGTCTTACACACTTAAAATAAACCAGGCTTGATTGAAAATATGTTCAGGGGTCAAAGGTCAAGAAATTTGATTACTGGCCAGTTTTTCAGTGACCAGGGTACTGCAGTTCTTGTGAACTCATTCTCCAGTTTCCTACTATAATGTGATTTTTTTTATTTTCCCGGTAACCATTAGTTCTGTTGTGTACCTGTACCCAGTAGGGACTGACAGTCAATGTCCACCATTAATGTTCTCCACTGCAGCTCCTTCTCAGTTTAACCTTGAAGTTGGACTTAAGTCCTGCTTCACAAGCAGTGGAAGGGGGATATCTTGCAGCCAATTGATTGATTATGAATGTTCACCCCCCCCAAGATTAAGACTAAACAAATCCTGGAGTCAGTGCAGGATTCTCTGTCTCTGCCGTCTCTGATGGCTAGCTTGATTGGATAAATGAAACACAGGCCATGCCTCATAGCCAGAATTTCACACTCAAACATCATACATTTCCTAGGATCCGTTGATGTGTGTATGGCTACAACACCGTGTTAGTATCTGTTCCTTTGATTAGTTTTGGTGAGTTCTGACAACATGAGGTACTGGTAGCCATCCATGCATTTGTGACTGCCTTTTTAATCACTGGTAATCAAAGGCAATATTATTATGACAGCATCCAATGTGCTTTGATGGTGGGCGCCAATCTCCCCCCTAATCACGCAATCGCAGTCATCAATTTACTGTCATCCCTCGTCCCTGTGCCTCGCTGCGCTCTCCTGCCTGAGAGGCAGAGAGCTCGGCTGGAAAATGGAGGGGGAAAAAAAAGAATCAAAACGGCAAGAGGAGGGACAGAGATTGGTGAACGTGTGTTTGATGGATCAGGAGACACCCTCCTTTTACTGAGGAGCATGAGTGGGCGATTTTTTTGTTTCTACACTGTTGTCTTAAAACAAGAAACCAAAAGAACATACGGTAAAGACAAAAGAGTGACGTGCTTCACATTAAACACACACACATGCAGGTTTGACATTTCATCCAACATGCAGTAATTGTAGCAATCTATTCTCTCTGATCATTTAGCCATAGGTCTCCTGCACTATATGTAGTTAATTAGTCAGAAGTAACTTCAGGCCTGTTTCCCAGAGCCAGATAGGGATGATGTAGTGCCTGCTCACACCTCTGCTTTGCCTCGGTACTAGCGATTAATTTGTGTGGTTTATTTTTAGACAGATGTCTCCAAGACATTGCTTGTGACTTCAGTATTTCCCACAGATATTCCACTTCAACTTCTCACATCATATTAGCATGCAAGGTGTGCACCGTCTCTGCAGCTCCCATTACCTCCATGACTGCTCCGTTGAATCAGGAGACGTGCCGCTTTAATAATATTGCTAACAACAATAACGGAGGTAGCTCATTAGTAACAATTTTAACATAGTTAATGATGGATTTATGCATCTGACTTTGTTCAGGTAGTCAGCACGGAAGCTTCTTCCCTCTTTCACGTTGTATCCTTACATATCAGTCGGGGGTTTGAAGTTGTCATCGCTTCTGAGACAGTCAATTAAAGATCTGAGCTCCCCGTCAGGTGGAGGCTGTCGAGAAAAGATAAAACGACAAAGCTCGGATGTCGTTTCTCTCCAGCTTTTTTTTTTTTTTTTTAATGTCTGTGCTAACGCATGTGCTCTGCTGAGTGTACTTGTGTGTGTAAGTACAGGGTTTGTGCAGGGACGCAGGAATTATTCTTTTGAGTATGAGAGTGAATGGGAGTGTGTATAGCCCAGCAGCAGCAGCAGCACATCCCAGTCCAAAATGTATCTGTCAATGTGGGTGAAAAGCAGAGTTCAAGAAGTATATGAAGAAATTAGTGACTGGGGAGAAGGAGAAAATGGGAATTGAGCCTAAAGGTGTGTTTGTGTGTTTGTATGAGGAAATTGGGGGGGGGGTCATAAACAGTTTAGCAGGGGTAGCCAGAGGCACCAGGTGGTAGCTCTCTGGCAGTGGTATTGGCCTCCTCCCATTCTTCCCCTCATCTCATCCCGCCATGGTCAGACTTTAACCACCACCCCTCCACACACACCATCCCCACCCGTCCTCTTCCCAAGCCCTGCCACATCTGACACGTGTAACCAGCCAACCCACACTTGTCACAGAGGAAATGAATCTGTTTCTGTGCGAGACCCCTCTGAGCCCCACCAGAGCCCTCACCACTGCCTCATTTCTCTCTGCCCCCCTCCACCCTCCTCTCCACTCAACCACCTCACTCCTGCTGCTGAGAGTTGGTGTGTTTCTGCTCTAATGAAGACCTTGGGAGGAGAGGCCATTTCACACTTGATTCCCTCCAACACCCCTTGATATGTTTCAGCATTTGGAGATGGAGCACGGGCTTGTGCTGTTTGGTGTTTGCCTGCACCTCTGTTGTGGGAAACAGAGTGCAGAGTGCTTTATGTGAAAATGTGGAAATTAGAAGGAGTGTTTGGTTGGTTTTTGATTTTAGATGGGGGGGGGGGGGGGGGGCTGTGGCATGCCGCCCAAGCTCTGGGTGTGGTTAATCAAATCTCACTTTTTGTGTTTTTGTAAATATGAACTTAAATGACGGGTTCCTGTAGACACCAGGGTGCTAAGTTATGTTCCAAGAGGCTCGTGGGAAATTTGGCGACCACTGATTTGTAAGTCAATAGTTTGTTTATCTCTCCCCATGGGAAGATGAGGAATACGTTAGTGCTGCAGCAAACATGTATATCTGGTAGCACTAGCATAATTACAGCTTATTTATAGTCTAACGTTCTATAAATTGGCAGCAACTTGAAAGAAAAACACTTGAGGTCCTTTGACATTCATCAAAGCTCCACCGATCAAACTCTGCAGGCTGAGAGCGTCTTTCATGATCAAACACTTTGAGACTCAAAAACTGCACACAAGAGTTGGCGATTCAAACTCAACAACAAGTTGGAATTTTTGTGAAGGAACTTGGAAGAACATTTGTTATTTGATCTTCAGTGAGGGAGATCCTTCGTGTTTGTGTAGCCATTGTCATGCATCGACATTTTAGTTTTATGTAACTGTATGGAATTTATTTGATGTCTCAGATCAGTGTCTGTTTTCTTCTTTAAAGGTTGCAGAATGTTTCTTAATCAAAGTCAACAAAGGTACAGAAACTGCATTGTTGGCAAAATAATATCACCATAAGTTCATTTTGTTTAGTCGCTGTTCTGGAGCTTTCCGGGACTTCTCTTCCATGTTGGTTTCACTTGTTCAGAAAAATGGCAATTTGACCTTCTACAATTCCATGACAACTGGTCAAACTCCATCTCCTGAAGAAGTCTATGTGATTTGATCAGAGACCCCAGAACTTCTACTAAATGGACCCTGTGGTGAGATTGTTTTGTCAACTCCTATTTCCCAGGTAAAAAAAATGAGCGTTATATGTTCTCTTTATCCTGTTCAGCTTGCCTTCGTTCCAGGAATGACAATGTCTGCCTGTTGCTTGGGTGGTTGACCACTTTGCCCCGGACTGAAATAAGTCAACAACTATCAGATGAATTGCCAACATATTTACAGAAATTCATGGTCCCCAGAAGACAAAGCCCAATAACTTCAGTGATCCCCTCGCATGTCTAGTGCCAGCTTGAGGTTGACATTTGTGGTTCAGTGTCATCCGGTTGTTGTCGATATCTCAACAACAATTGGGTGGATTGCCAAGAAATTTGGGGCAGATGTTCATGGCTCCTTCAGTACCTGTGAAACCACTGACATCCCCATCAGCTGCACTTTGTTTAGTGCTAATTAGTAAATTTTGCCATGCTAATATGCTAAACTGAACATCAACATGTTGGCATGCCACGCATGGATGTGGAATCTCTTTTTACATTTTAGTTTTTCCCCTTTTTATCTACACAGGAAGTGGAATTGTGTCGACTTAACAGCCAAGAGAAGTTGGGCTTAACTCTGTGCTACAGGACAGATGAAGAGGAGGATGTGGCCATCTATGTCAGTGAGGTGAGTAGAAAACTTGCAAGATGTGAGACTTGGCTGCCTCGACTAGAAAGGGTTTATTTCATTCATACGAGATAGATACAAGTGCTGCTTCTTCCAACTTAGTTTGCCATGAGGAAACTTACTTAAGTTTTGCAGTCGAGATCTCTGTACACATTGAATCATCTCTCTTTTATCTTTTCCCACTCTGCCTTGCTCCTGGAGACACTGCCAAGAAAATATGCATCATACATGTAAATTCCTCTTGCTAGTTTCTTTTTTTGCCAACCACCACAGTTGCTAGCTGTTAGAAAATGAAAATAATAATACTCTTGGGGCAAAAGGTATATGCATATTCTACAAATTCTACATTTAATTTCTTTGAAGTCTCACATTTACATATCATACAGTGCTGTAGAAACAGACAATCATCACAGCTAGGTCAGAATGCCTGAGTAAAATGTCCAAACAAAACTGGAAAAAACAAATGTTTGAGACTAAATCAATTGTGACATTTAATATTCATTTTCCAGTTTATGTTTCACTTTAGCATTCATGTGAGCATAGCAGGTTTCTCTACTGGGTGTAGTAATTTTAATATTAAACTCTTTTATCAACCACAAATGACATTATTGAACAGTTTGGCAATGTTCTAACTGCATGATTACACTTTCAACTGCCAACATTGAATGACTTCCAAGACAGAAAAAACAACAACAACAATGATTTCAGGTCTTGTTGTGCACCTAGTACTTCCAGTACAGCAGACATCAGCAAGCATGTCAGTCCACTTGTTGGTGGCATAGAAAGTGCCGTTCTCCATTCTGCTCAACTTTCTCTCCGATTCGTTTGAAGTTGACTAGGACCCTGCAAGGTGTTCGCTTTGAGAGCTGAGTGGAATATAAATCACTGAGGTCTGTGGCTCCTGGCAGCATCCTTAAGTGTTCGCTCTGCAAAAAAAAAAAAGTCAGGCTAAGAGGAGCCTGCTGCATTTAGATGAGGTGGCTGAATGTCACTGTATACAGGTTGTTGCATGCTCAAATAAGGTGCTGTTGTGTTGCATAAGCAGTGAGAACAAATCAACGTGAAGTTTGGAAAAATGCAAGGTCATTTTAAAACATGCTAAATTTCCTAGATTTGTAGCTCGTGTTGAATGGCCACATTGTTCCACTCTGTGTTGTTTAATTTGATTTCCTTTTGTTTTAATTGTCTTTCACAGCACAGTGGTTAACTAATGCAGAAGAACAAGAGCAGAAAAAGTACATTTCGTTCGTCCTCTAGTACATAGTTATTTCTATTCAGGGGGGACAGGGGCTGGAGTATATCCTAGCATGCACAGGGCAGGTCCCCTTGCATAAGTTACCAGTCCGTGGCAAAGCTGCGACAGTCACACTCATTCACACCAATGGGCAGCTAAGAGTTTACACTCCACCCCCCACCTCTTTGTTTTCTCCAGATCCATTTTCTCCCGACAGTTCAAACACAATGAGAAGAGCACATTCCACACAAAACATGGACCAAAGCTGAGAGTCAAACCTCCTTGCTCTGTGGCAAAACTGTAACCACAGCCATTTCACCACTAACAATGATGTCTTTAACAATTAGCAGATCCCTATGTTTTCGTGTATTTCAGTTGTGGATTGTTCAGGGTGTGCGTGCTCTCCCCATAACCGCAGAAAGATTATCTTCAGCTTCCCCTCCAGTCCTCCTACCCCCATTCCTGTCTAGTGACCTCCCTCCCATTAATGAGTGGTCCTCTGTGTGGGAGTGGACTATCATGAAGATGGAGTGCCACAGCACCTCACCATCTCCAGAGATCCCACCTGATAGGAGAGAGTGAAACGAATGGCCCCAGACACCGATTGATTGGCCGATGAAAGAGTGTCCTGCCCCCTTGTTCACTAACATTACTTATAGGAGGAGCAGGTGCATCATGTATTGGGGTTGAGTTATAGGCTGTAGTTGCTATATGCAGAGGCTTGTGCTCTATCAACCTGCCAGGGTATCGCAACTGAGGTGCATACAATTGAGGACTTAAATGATAACGGTGATAACTCAGTTTGTTATTTGGCTTTTTCTCACGGCCAAAATGGCTTTAAAAACTTACCAGGTTACCACGGGAAAATCATTTGACATCTATGGTCTTTCCATGGCAGCTCACCCAGTGTGTGCTGCTCACATTGTTAATAAAAGTCTAGACATGTCTAGCTGGGTGATGTCTTCATAATGAATTCAAACATTTTTTCAGCTATTCCTTGATTCTCTTGAATTAAGATTGAAAGTGTTTTAGAGGCATTATATTTCTCCCTCTACCTTCACAGATCAGTCCAAACAGCATCGCTGCCAGAGATGGACGCATCCGAGAGGGGGATCGCATTTTGCAGGTACAGTGGGACACCCTCTCTCTCTCTCTCTCTCTCTCTCTCTCTCTCTCTCTCTCTCTCTCTCTCTGGCCCTGTCTACACCAGCTCTCATTTGATTCAACATAAAAAGTCTCCTTTTATTTTGTCGCACACAACCACTGTCTCCCAGCAGGAGAGCCCATTCATTTTTAATGGCAGCACATTAAAGGGGGAACTCGCCCCCGCTGTGACTGTTAGAGGGGGAGAAGTGCCCCCCCTGGCTTTTTTAGTTACAGACTCAGCACCAATAGGGGTTTTTAAGAGTTCTGGTTGAGGATGGTGCTGCGCCGCAGCGCATGGCCTCCTGTGGCATAGCTGAAAGGCTAAGACTGTTATTAGCCCCTAGCTTCATTTTCAGGCCTGAGATCTGGAGGAGTTCTACACCCCGACGAGGAGCAGCATGTTAGGCCTAAGGGCTGGACAGTGTTGCTCCTATGGGTTACGTGGGTGATTATTGTTTTTGTGGAGTTGAGTTAGAGCCCCCACTTTTAATGTTAAAGCTGCACAAATGGGTTTGTTCAACCACTTAGAGGCAGGGAAACATGTAGAAAATTACAGTGACACATTATCTCCTTATTTAACTGTTATGATAAACCATTAACTATTTACACTCTCAGCAAAAAGACCAACATTGGTAGTTCTGTTTTGCTGATCACCAACTCCTGAGGGAAACATCTAGTTCTTCTCTGGTGTTTACTATGTTCACCGTCTAGTTGCAGTTGCAGTGTACATCGGGTTTATCAGGGTTTTTTCCACTGAAAAGATACTGTATGTCTACCCATGCTAGAAATGTGATGTTTGACGAGTTTGCAGGCCTGGACAACCCAAGCAACAAGCTGAAAGATGACCAACACCTTTCAGATTACATATAGTCATTTAATCCATTAATCCGTTAATATGAAATATATTGATTAGTGCAGCTGGAAGATCACAGGAGCTCATTGCGACGCCCCAAATTGGTAGTGTAACTATCACAGGACATTGACGATGAATGGGCACTACAGTATAAATGGCAGATGAAGGGAAACCATGAAATAATAAACTGGTTTGTTTTCTGCGCAGAAAATAAGGTTTAGTATGAACAGCAGCCCACTATGAGAGAGAGGAAGGAGGAATAAAATCCAGTAAATACTCTGCAAACAATTATTAGATGTAGGGGGCAGATGTATAAGCGCTGTTGGTAGACACCGGCAGACAATTAGACCGTGTGTTGTGTGACTGATTTACGGCAGGAGGAGGGGGGTGTGTGTGTTTGTGAGGCAGACCAGTACTCTGGCACCATTATCCAGCAGTGACAGGGCCATTAGTCTGCCTGCAAAAAGATGGACGCCCCCTGTCAGTGGCCGGTTAATTGTACAGCTAGATGTATGTACGCTGCCGGATACTTTGGTGAACACAACAGCTCCGTCGGCCCGCGGCCACTGTCCCATTCATAATCACTGCTGGGTCCTGCTTCATATTAGAGGAGCAGCAGAGAGTGTTTACAATTTCCCGAGAAAAAAAGGCATTATTGTGCAGTGGCACTTTTATTGTGGTACTTTGTTTATCTTAAGGGTTTTTGTATTGGGCAGGATAAACCTCACTGTATGTGTACAATGTATGTATTATGCCTGTGTTCAAATGTTTGCATTCGTGTACACGAGACATGTTTGCTTACTCGACAGTGAGTGTGGTAATCGTGTTTGTGTGTCATCTTCAGATTAATGGCCAAGATGTACAAGACCGAGAAGAAGCAATGGCTGCCCTCTCCAACGACGAGAGTAGGAACATTGTCCTGCTGGTTGCCAGACCTGAGCTGCAGGTTAGAAACTACCACACACTTACCTCACACCGACATATCTTTAAGCCACTGCCTGAAAAATCTTCTGTGGGCCTAACTTGGCTAAAGGAAGCACACAAGTTGCAAATTACAGCCCTGAGGTTTTGTCATTTACTGTATATTTGCTCAGAGTAAACCTTGGTAGTCTGGAGTAGCCAACCCTCTCCCCCGCTCCCTCCCCACCACCACAACCACTCCTAGTGGAAGATACCACAGAGACACCTCATCATGTTTTATTTTTATGTAGCGCCACTGTAATTGACTTCCAACACTAAGCCATAAAAGCTAATGGCATGCTAATGTGGAGTGAGTTCAGGCCCAAGGCCGATGGCGAATAAGCGGAAGGGACTCTGCCGCAGTGCAGATGAGCCAGGAGCGATAGTGGACTCTTTGTAATTAAATGTGTCTCTACGTAGTAAATCTGAAGTCTTCGGATATGGATCCCATTTGGCTTACATCAAGCAGACAAACAGATGATGGATGGTGTGCACTAAATAGGTCAAAGGCGGCAGTCTTATGTCCATTAAATCGTATTGGCTTGATTTTAAGATTAGAATGCATGTTTTAAAGATGAGGGGCGGTGTTTTGTTGGTTAAGAGCGAGCTAGCAGTTTCTCATTTCAAAACCATGCTGGGTTTTTTTTTTCCCCCAAGAAAATCCCATTAGGAACACCCAACTGTTTATTTTGAGACACTGTGTCGCCATAAGCTTTAGGCCTTGACAAATAACACTCACCCTTTTACCTCTATATGCTTTCCTTTTTCGTTCACCCTTAGCTGGAGGAGGCCTGGCTCGATGATGAGCACAGTGAGTTCCTGGAGCAGCTGAAGATGGAAATGTTGGAGGAGCAGCAGAGAGAGGAGATGGAATTAGCTGCCTTGCAGGAGGAGCAGGAGAATGAACAGGTCAGACAGCAATGTAACATACGCTTTGTGTGACTGGATTAGTGAGTCAATGTCAGAGCTTTGGGTTTTAGAAACTCCTGGAAATAGTTTATTTTTATTTGCTCTGTTTGATATGAATAAAACAAGCAAAAGCATTAGGTTTAAGTTATCCTTCCCACAGACTGACAGGCCGTAGTGCCCACTGTGATATGTTACGTCATACCATCGCATTGACCAATAATTGCTTTGACAGTATTAGGTCATTATTCAAAGTCAATGTTAACCTTTTCCTTGAAATTACTGCAGATCTAGCCAGCGGCAGAGCTGGAATCAGACTCTTCATCGACTTTCCTCACAAAACTGAGTGAAAACAAGCTTTGCCCTTTGAAATATGAATACAAAATGATGATTATGAATATTTATGGCAGGGGACCATTGAACCATTTAAATTCCAAACATTAGTAATCATAATTTAAAATTCTGTTTTTGTTGGAAGGAGAGCATACAACAAAAATCCATATAAATGGGACTTCAAAGACATGGCAGAGAGGAAACAATCCCTGAAGTAACAGAGCTGTATAACAAAGTTACGCACAGCAGCATATGTAATCCTACAGGAGAATGCAGAACAGGGCTGCATTTCCTGAACTCTTAAATACTCGTGGCAACTTTTTTGTTGTCTTTTTGTCCTCATTCCATAATGAGGACAGTAAAACTACACTACATAAATTACAGTACATACAGTTCTATATATTACCCTGTTTGTAAATGCTGTATGTTAATTTAGCCAAAACATATTTACAAGCATGGTTGCAAACTGTTGATAAGTTAAAAACATATGCCTTATGCATGTTAGTAATAAAAAAGGAAGTAAGAACAGTCTTGCAGTAAGTGCCACACCTTATGCTAATAAAAAATAGGATCATTAAAAGTTAGAATTGCAGTTGTCCCATGTATTCATATATGAGTATTTCAGGTTGGTTTTGTTTACCTTATTCATTTCAGAGAGCAGAAGATGATAAGCCCACCTGCTCCACACTCCCTCATCATAAGGACAGTGTACTGACTATAAAAGACAGAATGGAAAGCTCAGAGCATAACGTCCTGGCACACATCCAGAGACGTCTGTCCCAGTGCCTGAGAGACAGTCGGGACACACGCTGTACCACTGGCTCCACGCGGCTAGAGGACAAAGAGGATGAGGACGATGATGAGACGGAGGGTGACCGTTTCCAGCAGCTCTTGGAGCTGAAGTGTCAAATTCGTAACAGCGGCGAGTACGACCTGTTCTACAGCCGCCGCAGCACCATTGAGTGCAGCATGGGGGAGCAGGGAGGCGTACAGCATGAGCTGCGTATGCTCAACGAGGAGCTGCGCAGCATCGAGCTTGAATGTCAGAACATCATGCAGGCCCACAAGCTTCGTAAGGGCCAGCAGTCTCCCTCAACGGGCCGCTCTGCACCCTCCACCAAAAACCAAAGCCTCCACCGTGGCGAGCCCACAAGGGGTAAGCTGGCAGACATTAATGAGAGGCTGGAGAAATCGGACAAGGACAGCTCCAGTGCCTATAACACAGCAGAGAGTTCACGCAGTACCCCTCTGGCAATGGACCGCTCCCCGGAGCACTCACTCCAGAGAATGGTCAGTCTCACCAACCAGAGGAACCTCTGCAGCAGTCTTGCCACTGGTCACTCTCTTAGCCTGAGCCCCATCCCAGCATGCCGTGCTCCAGTCCCGGGCAAGAGCAGCAGCCCTGACCACAGCAATCCTTCTGAGTCGGACCAGACACCTCAGGCTGAGGACGAGAGCAGAGGGACATTAAAGACACATGCTTGCCAGATTCCTTATTTCTCTCCATCCCACAGTTCCCAGCAAAGGCAGGCCAACATCCCAGCTCATGCCCGCCACTACCAGAGCTACATGCAGCTGATCCAGCAGCGCTCAGCTGTGGAGTATGCTCAGAGCCAGCTCAGCCTGCTAAGTGTGTGCAAAGAGCCTCAGAGGCCCATTATTGAGCCCAAGATGGAGTGGAAGGTCAAGATCCGCAGCGACGGCACCCGCTACATCACTAAGAGGCCTGTGAGAGACAAGATCCTGAGGGAGCGAGCCCTAAAGATTAAAGAAGAGCGTAGTGGGGGAATGACCACAGATGACGATGCAATGAGTGAAATGAAGATGGGAAGGTACTGGAGTAAAGAGGAAAGGAAACAGCACCTGGTCAGGGCAAAAGAACAGAGAAAAAGACGAGAGTTCATGCAGCGTAGTCGTCTGGAAAGCTTGAGGGAGAATCCTCAAAGCAGCAGCGAGGGTCGCAAGGAAGTCAGCATTATAGAGCTCAGCCACAAGAAGATGATGAAGAAACGCAACAAGAAGATCCTGGACAACTGGATGACCATCCAGGAGCTGATGACTCATGGAACTAAGGCCCCTGAGGGAGCCAAGGTGAACAATGCCTTCCTATCAGTCACTACTGTATAAAAAAAAACAAAAAACAAAAAAAAACACACACACATTCTACCCCATGCGGTATAATATACTTGCCTCGTTCAATGTGGCGTTTTTATGAGGACAATAGGAATATTTTTCACACTTTGTAACCCAAAAAGCATTTTGTAAAGAATTTATCAGTGGTGTCATGGCATTTTCTTCATGTTTTCCCAGTATTGTTTTTCACATCACTCTGCGGGAAAAACTTTTTTCTATGAAATTATGACTATATAATTATTTTGTTACTTCGCACTAAACATGTTTATCTTTTCAAGCTTTTCAAGTCTATTTTCATATTTATGTTGTAATCACATTACTCAAGATAGTTGTATGAACATCTTAAGAAAAGTTAAGTATTTTTGGTTTGTGTATTATGTACGCTTGGCTATTGCAAAACATAATGAATCCAGTGGTCAGATCTATTTATGCTTTAAAATTGAAATCAGTAAGTCTCAGTGTCAGGCTATCAGTGCCCAGACATGGCCAGTTTGTCCAACTAGTCAAACCACACAGATATCACAAAGTTATGATAGCTTCAGTCATAATACTGTATCACTTACAACTGGAAGAATGTGTTTAATCCCTAAATCCTACTGAATTTGAAATAAATTGGCAACGCCGTTTCATTGGTCAAATGTTTTTATGCTCACAGACTTGGGTCACCCAAATATGAAATTTTAATGTCTTATTGTTACTGTTATTAAATACAGAATATTGCAACAACAAATGTATTCCAGCTCTAAAAATCGAATTAAAGAGGATACTGAGTTACTCTGTTACTCTCCAGTTATCTGAAAGAGAAAAATCCCCCTGAAACCTGTGAAGTGTTTCAATATGTCATCTGTTTTTTGGGGAAAAACCCAAGAGGTTTTAGATTGCTGAACATGAGCAAATGTTTTTGTCAACGGATAACTTTTGCTAGTAACAGTTTTATCATCAGCAGTTGAAAAGCACATGAAAGAATCTTTTAAAAGTTGGATACCTCATTTTACAGTGAAACTGTTCATGTGTCCTTTCTGGTATTTGTGAACTTGAGCTTCTTCCCCCACAAAGCTGCAAACAATTGAACGAGCTGCTTCACTGACAGGTGAATGGAAAAATAACTGAGACATAAAAGTCAAAATGTCATTTTATTTACCTTTTTTTTGTTTGTTTTAGAGATTCTTAAGGGTACAAGACTGACATATCCAAAAAGAGTCCATAGGTCCTGGCTCATTGCCAGTGCTGCGTCCTTGTTTGTGTGGTTTGCAGCTTTGGGTAAAAATATTTTATATTCAGTTTTATTTTGGCTTAATATTTTGAGTTTTTTCTACATATTCAACAACAGATGGACCTGCTCGTAGCTTTTACATACCAGTATTTTTACATAGTTTTTACTCTCCACATCCACCTTTACTCAGCATAGCCTTAACAGCAAAGACTGAAACAGTGACACGTTGGTGTGACAACCTTTCATACACAAACTATACACTCTGTCTCTGTATATCTCTGTGCAGCAGAGAGGTATTATTCAGCCTTATTCATACATTGTATAATTTGAGTTTGTTTTTTTGTAACTGGAAACATTCATAGATATTGTATAGTCATTACTGAAATAATTTTGCAGTCACAAACTGGTGTTAGGATGATTGCCACTGAGCAGGACTCAGAACACAGCATATTAGATCATGGAAAAACTAAAGTGGTGAAATTAATGGGTTGCCATTTATCAACAGACATTATAGTTCAGTTACATGTACAGTATACTAATTCCAAATGCCTCATTTTTAACTGAAATATTGTAAATTTAAATTTTAAACCAATCCCTGTATTTGTTTTGAGTAAATGTCTGATGGTCTAATTTCGAGTAATGCGTAGTCGGCACATTTGTAGCCAGGTAAAATGTGTGATAATGGTGAACTTTGCAAAAGAAATAATAAATTATTGTTTTTTTGGTATAACATGGCTCATTATTATTATTATTATTATTCAGACATTAGATTTTACCAAAATCTGCTAATACTTTGCAGTTTGTGCCAGGTACTTGAACTATGTAGTTGGAAATTTAGCTTCTGAATACAGATGGACAAACATGATACTGAACTCAGCAAGGCTCCTGCACACTTTATACTTAGCACTGTGAAGTGCTTGGTGTGAACTGTGTGAAAGTGGGCAACGGCAACAATTTGTTCTTTCAGTCTGGTCAGGATGGTGCTGAGAGACAATGGATAAAGAAGAGAGGTGGGGAAACATTGTAAAGAAATGCTGTCATATCAAAAGTAAAAAATGCAGAAAAAAATGGTATCAGAACAATAGAAAGTCATTCTGGGGTAAAGGGATATCTCCTCAAGAGAGACTCACTCCTTTCCACAAGGAGATTTCAATTAAAATCAACTTCCACTTGGATGGCTTTGTGTTCATTACAATGTACCAACTACTTAATCATTTCTTTGGCCTTGTCATATGCAGGGGCGAGCTACTGGGATCCTCTGGTCTCTGTATTATCTTATGTCAGTGTGATAGCCTATAGCTGAAATTGGAGTGTCACAGATACAGTACTGCCTGAAGACTGTTCTGTACTTCTGTTTCTATTTAACAGGAAATTGGTAAAATATAAAAAGGACAGTCTTCCTGACCCTACTGTTAAAACTACTCTAAAACTACAGTTTTCTTTTGAGTAGAGACGGTTCTTTGTTATCCATCTGCATTATGTCTATGTTTTTGTTGCCAAGCACTCTGGTTTTTTTTTTATTTTCACTGTTTGGTTTTCTTTTGTAAGTCTTTTAATAGTTTCTTATTTCCAAACACTTGATGTGTGCAAACCGGCCTGTGAAGAACTGCATCCAAGTCCTAACAAAACAAAAAGGCTATTGTTCGGTCTGTGTATCACCATGAAAGCACTTCTTACACTACTTAATTTACATACAGTGCAGTTTTATAAAGCCACAGAATTGCATTCTGTGTGATTTTGAAGTTGTACTATTATAGTCTGTGGCATTTGAAAAAGAATTTTTAACTTATACAACAACCAAACATTAACATCAAAGTTGGTATCGGAAAATAAGACTCCTGCCGTCCCTCAAGCCCATTTGCTCTCCCCTCATTTGTTCATTCTCCCAGTTTGTAAAGACAGAGACCATTAAAATGCCAATGAAAAGCCACAGAAGAAGAAGCTGTGAGTGTTGTACCAACCAATGCCAGAACTAGCCCGAGTGCTTGCTGGCTAATTAAGTTCATCCCTGAGCCCCTGAAAGACCTAGTCAGGTGTAATTAAAATCGAGCCTGTGATATTCATGGCATTTGTCAGAGCTACCCAGCAGTTCAAATACCAGTACTGACAGAAATGTCAAACAGATAGCAGTGGCTCATCTCCTCTTCAGTCCTACACACAAACACACACACACACACACACACACACACACACACACACACACACACACACACACACACACACACACACACACACACACACACACACACAACCATCACCTCTGTTATGAATGTTTGCTGATAACCTTTAGGATTCCCCCGAACAGCAAAAACTACAAATTCTCCCTCATTATTCATCCAAGGAGGCCAGTATTTATTGACATACAGATCCACTTGACATGTGATGGTGCAATCTACTTCATAGTGCCCCCTCTCCCTCCTAATCTCAGAGGCATGTAACAAACTGGTAATTGCCTCGGATCACGAGTCTCTCGATGTCACTTTGGAAACTGATGGCAGCTTTGATCTTTGATATCATAACTGCTGTGTTGTCGTAATTGGCCCTATCATGCCAGATGTAGTGGTGTGTATGCGGGTGCTACGGACAGACTGCTACTGCTGAGCCAGCTGTTCTGAATTTATATGCCTTAATCAAGCAGAAGACAATAGTGAGTCTGCTGATGGGGGATAATGGTGCATGAAATCACTTAACACCTCCTCTGAAATTCTCAACATACACAATGTGGTATTTTTAATACAGTGTGCAGAAATGTCACGACGTACAGCATGTCCTAATGCCAATCTCAGTGGCAAAGTTTTCCATTCATCCTGAGTGGGGGACATGAATGTCAACCAAACGAAACCAGGCATGTCAACTAAATGGTGATAATAGAGGAAATATCACAAGGCTTTATCTCCAAGGGAATCTATCCAGTGCTGCAGTTTTTGAAATATCAGTTTAGACCGAAGCGGAGGGCCAACCAGCTAACCAACAGTCTGACACTGTCATCCATGCAACTGGGGAAAAGGACAATGATAAAAAGCCAAACTGCTGGTGTGGTTGTCTTGGGTGTGACATTTTAACTAAAATGTTAAACGCAGTAAATGCTCAGTGGTGGTATTTTTTGCTCAGAAATTCTTCACATGTACTACTTCGGAGACTGATGCTGGGTGACAGAGCAGCAGACAGCGGTGGTGCGTGCTGATCACTTCAGACTACAGTAAGATCTCTCGCACTAGAAAACATTCACTAACGCATACAGTAGTTGGTAGTGCAGAAAAACTCTCATGCAAACTTCATGTTCTGCTCTGAATAAATCAACGAGGTAGTTTCACAGTCAGTTCATTTCCAGCGTCACAACAGCATGCCTAAATCCTTGTTTATAGCCAAGGGTTTACAGCCAACTGTGAATAAATTACCAAAGTTACACAAGTTAATAGTTTTAGGGATTAGATGATAAGTCTAATCTTGGGTTGTCTCACTATTTACTTCATCTCAGCTCTGTGTATTCGAACTCTCTGCTGGATACGTTCGCATGTCATTACTGGCAGAGATCTTTTATTGCTTCTGTGAGCCATTTGGACTTTTTTTTTTCTTTCACACCCCCTGTTTTATGTGTCATTAGTTGTTTCATTTTCACCCCAACCAAATGCATTAGGGGACCTATTAAGCAAAAACCTGTGAATATTTCAGAGCATAATTAGAGCTCTAATTACAATTCATTATTCATAAAATGGGTGAACCAAACTGCAATACATACTGCAAAGGTCTTAAACATGTACTATTTGGATTGCAATTAGAATGTAGAGTTAGAATACTCCCGAAAACATACTGTAATACCGTTAGCCCTAAACAGAAATATGCTAGTATATTATTCATAGACACATATTGCAGATTTTATGAGATGGGTAATATTGGCTGGTAAAAACATTCATATCACACTATTATTCAAATTATACACCTGGTTTACCCCAGTGTTTGCAAATAAACAAACAAAAATGTTGCCAGGCTTTAAACTACTTTTACTTCAATCAATAGCTTAAAACATACAAAATACCCATCACAGTTCTTAGATGCTAATATGCAGTTAAAATATTTTTTAAAATTCCTGAAGTCTCTCACCCTGGTGCTTTCACTAACCTTCAAGGTGGAAAATGATTGACATGTGTGGCCAACCATGCAAACTCTATGTTGTATACAAATGTAAAACTTGCCCCTTTGCACATTCATCGTCTCTATGAATTCCATTATCAATCCAGTAAAGTTTCTCTTCTTGTTGCTTCTTATTCATGAGCTGTGGGTCAGAGTCCGTATCCAATAGAAATTACTTGTACGATTCTGTCTGTGATTACCTCGCTCAGCCTGAGAATTAATAAATAATGTGTGGCAGTCTCTGCATAGGGTCTGTTTCACA